AGAGACACCTAACTCTGGGAAACGAACAAGGGGTAGTGGAAAGGGAGGTGGGCGGGGGATTGGGGTGACTGGGTGATGGGCACTGAGGGGGGCACATGGCGGGATGAGCACTGGGTATTATGCTATATGTTGGCAAATTGAACTCCAATAAAAAAAGTAAAAAAAAAAAAGATTCTCCTTCCCTCTCCATTGGCATCTCCCCTCCTCAAATAAATAAATTTTTAAAAAGATGTAATTTATTTATTTGAGAGAGAGAGCGTGCACAGGAGCAGGAGGAGGGCAGAAGGAGAAGGAGAAGCAGGCTCCCTGCTGGGCTCCATCCCAGGACCCCAGGATCATGACATAATGACCTGAGCTGAAGGCAGATGCTTAACTGCCTGAGCCACCCAGGTGCCCCTAAATAAATAAATCTTAACAAAAAAAGCAGGGGGGACAGAGAAGAGCTTGACTCAAATCCTGAGGTTTTATAGGGAGAACAGACCAACAGTAGTTTTTCAAGTCATTTACGTGGGAGAGCATTTTAACTTAAGAGGATTATAAGGTACAGGGCCTTTAGAATGCTGCCAAAATTCAGTATGCATCCCAGGTGGTATCAGCACCAGAGGTCCAAGAATGATCTTTAGCAAGAAAGAAAAATGGAGCATATCATATATCAGCCACAGGTGTTCCTTTTACTATAATACCTTTTCCTAGTTTCTATTAGGCAAATTCCTACATGATCTTCAAAACTCAGCTCAAATGTTACTTCTTCAGCTAAACCTTTTCTGATACCTGCTGAGGTATTCGTGGTCTCACAGTGTTTTGTGTCCCTTTGTATTTTAGGATGAATTTCACTGTACCTGTGTCTGTCCCCCCACAGGCATCTGTGAAGGTCTTAAGGGCAGGGAGGGCGAGGTTAACTCCCCTTTGCTTCCACCCCAGAGCTATGCACATGGCAGGTGATGGGTGAAATGATTTATTCTATATACCAGCCCAGGCCAGATACTGTTTGCAAGGGGATGCTAAAGATGAGCACTATAGTCATCCACACACTGTGTTCCAGTGACCAGGGACTTGAGTCTCACAGGCTGTACCTACTGCTGAACCAGACCTTTAGCAAGAGAAATCACCACTAGATAGAAATTAACATCTCAGCCTCCTGTGGCTGATTTAAGAGAAGGTGCTTCTATGGCTGATATTCCTTGAATTTGGTTAGAGGAGGGAATCAAGAAGCATGGGGCAGATCTCATGATTCTGTCAGGGAGCTGATAGGCTTCTGAATCAGGAAGTTCTTTCTCTTGTCTAGCTTGTCTCCACCCTGCTTCACTTAGACTCTGTTGCCTTTTGCCTGGTCCTGGGCAAAAAAGGCAGATCAGCTGTGCTTCCACCTCCTCCTGTCCCTTCCCGACTCAGGAAAGCAGGTAGTGGCTGGGTCTCTCTTTGTGTTATTAACAATGCCAACCCCCCACAGATGCCAAAAAAAGCAGCAAATGTGGGTTACAACTGAGAGGAAGGAAGCCGATCCCCGGAGCTCCAGGTAAAGTGGCTTTGAGCAGGTAGAGAAGAGGCTAAGCATATATGCTGGTCTTTCAGGATGGAAAGAAGAACATTATGTTTTCTATTAATTTGCTCAGCCTGGGAAACATTTCTCGGCGCTGTGGCTTTGGAGATGTCTAGCAGGAGGTAACAGGGCTGTTTCTGTAGCTCAGGGGCTGGGACTCAAATATAACCAGGCACTGGGAACTCTACCCTCTTGCAGCTGTATTTTTGAGATGCATTTGGAAAACTATCTCAGACAACTGAGCCAGGGTGATCTTGCTGGCCAGGGGTTCTGGGGTCATAGATGACAGTGAGGATTTGCTGAGGATAAAGGAGTGAATATACATCCCAAGCATGGGCTGTCTGTATGGCGTGCGTCCAGGAGCTCCCAATTTTAAAACTATCTGGCTGTCTTAACCCCAGGAAGATGTATGTGGTCTTTCCTCCTTTGCCCAGCACCCTCTCTCCTTCTCTAAGCAAAGGGAACTGCCATTTTTGAGGGGGAGATTCTCAGCACCACTCCCTGATGGCTGCACACTAAATATCTGAGTCACCCCCAAATTCATATGTTGAAGCCTGATCCCCCAGGTGAAGGTATTAGGAGGTGGGGCCTTGGGGGAGGGACTAGATCACTTTGTAAAATAGACCCCAGAGAAATGCCCCTTTTGCCATGTGAGGCCATGGCGAGAAGATACCTGCCATGAACCAGGAAGTTTCTCATCAGATACTGAATTGCTAGTGCCCTGATTTTGGACTTCCCAGCCTCCAGAATTGTGAGACATAAATGTCTGTTGTTTGTAAGCCACTCAGTTTCTAGAATTCTGGAATTATAGCAGCCTGCCTGACCTCAGACACTGATCATTTCATCACGGAGCTCTGAGAAGAGGGTCAGTGGTCCTATTAATCACTCCTGCCCTGTTCCCAACATTGAGGGCTTGAAGTCCAAGGTTATGGTTTCCAAGCTGTCACCGTCTAACCGAAGTGACAGCATTAAAGGAAATGGCCATTATCCTGCCACTGCTTAGAATGCAGCTGTGACTTTAAGGGTCTTTCTAATGGGGTCAAGGCATCCTCAGCTTTGTCTCTGTGAGTCAGAGACTCAGGGGTTACTGTATACCAGCAGTTACAAACTCTGATACCTGGAGAGGACTGGTAGGTAGGTAAGGTAAATTAGCAAAGCAGGCTGGCTGATTTCAAGACAGAACACTTGGTTGCATATTAAACATGCAAGAATATTCTTCATTTTTATAAAACATGAAATCTCTCTCATGTTTCCTGAAACATACAAACCTCTTGGTCTGTCTCTATCTGCCACTGATAACAAAGTCATGGATATAAAAATATTCCCCTTGCATCCTAAGAAAATCAACAGTACTAATGTTATAAAAAGTGAAAATAGACAGGGCCTTAAGGGGACAGATGATAGGGAGTGGTGAAGTTTGTGGCAAATTGGAAAGCCCATGTTCTGTCTATCTAGACGGGCAGCTGCTACTCAGTCCGTACAGATTATTGTCCCATAAGAATATAGGCTCGAGGGGCACCTGGGTGGCTCAGTGGTTGAGCATCTGCCTTCAGCTCAGGTCATGATCCCAGGATCCTGGGATTGAGTTCCACATCGGGCTTCCTACAGGGAGCCTGCTTCTCCCTCTGCCTTTGTCTCTACCTCTCTTTCACGTGTCTCTCATGAATAAATAAATAAAATCTTAAAAAAAAAATACAGGCTCGAGGTGGTCAGAGTGTCTGCATTTTTAGAGAAAAATTGTGAATATGATATTTATATAAAATTTCAAAACAGTGGCAGTAAACTCAAAGTACAAATAAAAATTGACCCTTAGGGCAAGAACGTGCTGATCTAACAAGTCATGTCCAGAGCCTGGATCTAGCCTGAGGCTGTCTCTTTCTGTTCTTTTTTTCTTTTGTCTTGGGAGGACTTGAATTATGGTAATATCCCTTTATTTCTGGTTAGGAAAGAAAATACAAAGAAAAATGTGTTAACTTTATTTGTTCATTTAATCATGAATGGACACTGGTCCCCTCATGCTAACAGAGTGACCCTGATTTTTGAGGATGGCATAACAGAAGTCTATATTAGTGCTTCTCTCAGCATTCCTAGATGTCACTGGAGGAGGGAGAGAAACTAGCAGTGGGAGCATGGGGATGACCTAGTGCAGAATCCTGGACATCCTTATCTTCTTGGCCAGCTATCAGCTGCTAAGGAAAGCAATCCCCCCCGAGGCTCTGGAATGTCCCAACCCCCCATGAGGCTATGTCATTGCTCAAGTGAGCTGGTAGCAAAAGGTGCTGTCCACATGGATGCATCAGAAGACAGAATCTGACAACCTGCCCTGTGCCATACAGGGCTTGGGGCAGGTGGAGAGAAGAAGAAGGTGGCCTGCTGAGTGACTTAGCCCATCTCCCTGTTCTGACCTCCCACTTCACTGCAGTACAGAGGATGGGCGGGAAATTCACACATTTTAATAGGGTTGCAGTGGCCTGGTCCATTAGCTGCCCAAGCAGGTGAGAAAAAGGCACTGTAAGTCTCTAGCCAAATCTCTCCATGCTCAGGAACAATATTGACACAGCTGTCAAAACACATCTCAGCAAATTGGCAGAGACCAAAAAGTTTGATAATCCATTAGGATGACGAGGTTGTGGGGATACCACTACTCTCCTGTTTAGCTGGCAGGACTGGAGCAAACTTTACAGTGAGGAATTTCTCAATTTCTGCCCCAATCACAAATATCTATGATCTTTGATCCAGCAATTGTACTTCTAGGAATTTATGCTATTGAAAAGCCTGCCCGTGAGCCATGTGAGGCATTTATGCAATGTCACTCATTATAGCAACATCCTAGCAAAATACTGGCGATGTCCTAGGTGTCCACATGGAGGACTGACTCAAGAAGTATAGCAGAGGTATGGAATGGAATATTATACATCCATGAAAAAAGAACTAGGACTCTCTTCACCTACCGATTGGGACTAATCACCAACATATGTTGATAAGTGAAAAAGCAAGAGGCAAATGCATAATGTGCTGCTCTCATTTGTGTGAAAATAATGTGTGCGTATTTGTCAGTCTACACATAAAGTTTTGCTGAAAGGACCATAGAAATGATAACTGTTGCTTGCCTCTTGGGAAGGCAACCGTGTGGCTGGGATTAGGGGAGGGAGGAACACTTTTTACCATGTATCTTTACCTTCTAAATTTGGAATGTGAACGGCATGGGAGAGCCTTTCCTGGTGGAAGCAAAATTGAAATTTGGAAAATGGCAAGATCACAGACAAAGCAAAACAGAGCCAAACCTGTATCCCAGGATACATGCTCCTGGCCTCCGCATCCCTGACCCCTCCAGCCGTGGTAGCTCATTTCCATCCCAACATGGTTTGACATTTGTTTGGCCTCCCTCCCCTCATCGTTACACTGGAGAAGGTTCAGCAAGCTGTGGAATGTGGGAGCCAAGCTGGCACCACCCACTTACCTGCTCCTTCTCTGAATACGGGTTGTTGAGGATGACAGGCACATGGCCCTTCCCCCACAGGTCACTGAAGACTCGGTCATTCTCCACGCCAAGGGGCAGTGGTTTGTGTGACTTGCTGTCCATACCTCTGAAAGGCAAGGCAGGGGATGTGAGAAAGGCATGACATCAGGAGTGGCAGGCTAACGGCCCTGGTCTACAAGTCCTGAGTCTGTATAGAACCTTCATGGTTCACCCACATGTGGAGCCAGCAAACCGTGGGTGCCCAGCCTGCTGCTCGACAGAATTGCCAGCAACACGGAGGAAGGCAGCCCTGTGGTCAAGCATAAAGGTGAGCTCATTGAGGTCAGCACTGATGGTTGGCAAGCACTAACTAGTGTGGACATCACTTCAGGATAGCCACGATGTGGCTTTGATCCTCCCTTCTCACTTCCCCATCTCAAAGATCTAGGAACACAGAAGGCTCATCTCCTGGCAGATCCCCTGGACAACTTAAGATGTAGGAAGCAGGATGAACAGGGAAGAAAACAAGTCTTGGGGGCTAGGGTGATAAGTCATCCTAATTCTGAATAAGCGCTGATAAGGAGACTGATGATACTAGCCCAAGAGAAACAGAAAAGATTCTGAAAATGAGAGGAACAGAGCAACAAAAATAATAATACTATTAAAAACAATAGCTAGTGTTTATTAAGCACTTATAATGTGTCAAGCACTTTTCAAGTGTTCTAATTTGATCCTTGTGACAATGAATGAAAATTAACCACATTTTATAGATGGTGTAAGCAAGACAGAAACTAAGATGTTCAAGGCCACAGTTTTCCAGCCCACTCTTCACAGCCATTCTGCAGTGGAGGCTCTCATTATCATCATTCATCAGTATCATTATCATCATTACCATCACTGCCACCATCACCACCACCACCATCATCACAATCACTAGCATCACTATCATCACCATCACCAAGAATTACTATCAATACTACTGCCAGCATCACCATCACATCACCATCACCACTGCCACTATCACCACCATCAGCATCACTACCCAAACTTCCACTGCTACCACCATCACCACCACCACCACCATCATTCCATGATCATCACCATCCAGTTTCTCATCAGCATAACCACCATTATCACCATCACCATTGCCATAATCACTCTCATCATTACCATCATCACTTTCATTACATCATACTATTCATCGTCATCACCATCACTACCAGCATCACCATCCTCCTTCCATCATCACCATCATTAGCATCTCCGTTGCTATAATCATAATCCTCATAATTCTCATCAGATGAGGAGAATGAGGCTCAGAGAGGTTAAATCACTAGCCAAAGTCACACAGCCACAGATGGTGGAGTTGGGATTCAAAACCAGACTTGTTTATGATTAAATCCTGACTTCTTAACTGCAAAGCTTTCCTGGCTCTCTGCTCTTGAACTCAGATTCAGGAGGAGACAATCTCAGGTAGGTTCCACAGCTTGGTCATCCTCTAACATGGAAAGAAATCATGGCTGCAATGGGACTGATGTTGCATCAAAATCCAGACCTCCTGACCAGCCCCATCTCCCTTCTGTCCTTGCTCCCTCTCAGCTCTGCCCTCTTGCTTCCTGACAACTGGCCTCTTTTTAACCCTCCCATCCACTTTTAGTTTGACTATAGCATCTGTCTGTTCCCCAATTTTGGGCACTGTGGCTTGCTCTGGGGCCCCTCCTGGTTTTGGTCCCAGGTGTCAAGGTGAACCCTTACCTAGTCCTCTGTTCTACATTTCCAGCTTTAGGGATTTAAAATCCTGGTTTTATAGTTTCCCTCAACCCCTAGTCTGGCACTGACAGTCATTTGGGATCAATTGGAAGTCAGGGGTCAAGCTCTAGTGCTTGGCCCTGAGTGGTCCCTCTGGCTGCTCACTCAGGGCCAGCCAGACCTCCCCCCTTCACTGTGTTTTACAAAGTCCTGGTGGCCTGGGTCAGAGCCACCTCTTCTGCTTAGAGAAGACTGCAATCGTTGGAGGTAACATTCTGTTTTACCCTCTTTAAAATGTCACTAAAACACACGGGGAGTGGTCCTTGATTACAGACATTTCACAAGCCAATGGTTTACCTACATGATGATAAACAGAGGAATTGTCTGTTGAGATGGCAGCTCTCAATGTCACTCAGCTCCCTCTCAACTCTGAAACTCCTGATCCTATGATATCACGTGACTATAAATGGGGATTCAGTAGAGACAAGAGGTTAATAGTGTTCGAGTGTCTGTAACATGCCAGGTACTAGGACGGAAGTTACTTCATTTACTCGCAACAGACATTAAAAGCCCTATTTTACAGATGCAAAAACTGAGCCTGGAGAGGTTATGTAAGTTTCCAAAGGTCCCACAGTGAGCACACAGAAGGGCTGGGATTTGAAACTAGGTCTCACTGATGCTCGGCCCAGATCCTTCCTTTTTAAAGCAGACAGGAAAACGTAGTTACTCTGAGCCAGAGGCTAAAGAGTAAGTAATCCAACATTTCTTTCCTGAATGAGGCCAGTCTGCAAAAATTCTAGGGGACAATTACCTAGGCAACTCTGAAGTGGCTCACATGGCTTGTCTGTTGTGAATCTTCAGGGAGAGCTGCTTTTATTCCCTCCTGCACTCCCTCCTTTTTATTTATTTTTTATTTTTTTTTCCTCCTTTTTAAAAAAAGCCTTTAACACCTTTGTTTAAATAATGCATTTGAAATATTTTGTCAACAAAAACTTATTTAAGAGTCCTGTGTGATGATCAGGGCAAGAATATTTTTAATATGGAACCAGGGACTGTCTGGGTTGAGCTATTCTGCTTCCATTCAACCAGGAGCAAAATCAGAAGTAGATTTCAGTAGATTCTCAGCTCCCAGCCTGACAGTGATTACCAGGTCTGAGGGAAACCTCTGGTTCATTGCCACGAATCTGTTCCCCCCGGGATCTAGCTGCTTGATGGGTTTGTACGGGCAGAGTAGCTTGGTGGTTAAGACCATGGGCTATGGGTTGGGTGGCCCTGGGTTCAGCTCTTGGCTTTGCTGGTTATAAGCTGTGCAACTTTGGATATTTTGGATACTTATGCTTTCTTAACCTCCATATTCATCTCCACAGCAGGGTTAATAATACCTAGTTCGTGGCGTGGCAGCAGTGGTTAAACGAGGTAAAGCTAATAGCCATTAGGTGTGTAGCACCTACTAATGTTGTTATGGGCTGATTAGACAGAAACAGAAAAAGGAAAATGCTGGTTCTGTATAAAACAGCCAAGTTTCCTCTATGCCAGCAGGGTCTAGTAGAACTTTCTGCGATGATGGGAACATCCTACATCTGTCCAGTTTTATGGCCACTGGTTACATGTGGCAATTGAGTACTTGCAATGTTCCTATGGGCAATGAGAAACTGAATCTGAAATTTTATCTAATTTTAATTGAGTAGCTAAATGTGGCCGATGGTTGTAGCATTGGACAAGTGCCCCTCAAAGCCTTAATGTCTCTGAAGACTGGGAAATGAAGGCATATATAGCTCTAAGCTGAGAAAAAGCATGTTTCCTGGGGGTTTGAGGGCACGGGCAGGGATACTCAGACCCTTTCTAAACTGTCATGTCTTATTCACAGAGCACAGGACTTCAAGAATCCTCTGTTCCCCTTCCAGACTCTCACTTTCCATCATTCTCAGTCCTGATCTACACTCTCCCTTCCTCTCGAGGGAGTGTTGTCCACTCCTACCTTTACACTTGACCTCCCTGGGATGCCCTTTCATCTTCCCTCTGCTGGGAACCAACTCCTAGTCAACCTTCAACACCCACTTTACACCTCTCGACTCCTGGGGGTTAAACGAAGCCATGCATGAAGAATGCCTAACACAGTCAGAACTGATCGAATATGTGTATCTTCACTGACAACTAAGGTCATTGAAGCTCAGAAAGATTAGGTAACTTGTCAAAGGTCACACCACCAATGAGCAGTGGAGAAAGGCTGAAAGTCAGATGTCCCCTTTTTTGCTGTTCCTCTGGCTGCAAATCACTGAGAACAGGGCTTAAGGGGGTGGTGGGAGAGTCATCATCTAGTTGAATCTCATATTGGTGAAGAACCTCAAATCTAGATATTGTTCTTTCCCTCTAAATGCAGTAGAGATGTTGAATGTATTTATCCATTGGATGAGGTTTTTGGTTGCTCTGATGTATCATTTCTTCATTTAAATAAATATACTGGGAACCCATAGATGGAGGTGGATGGGGCCTGTCTTGACTACTTAGAAGCCTGGATGGTGACTCTCCTTTGCTAGTCCTTATGAATGTTGGTCCTGCGTAGCTGCCTGGAGTGGTTTCAGTTTAGATCACAATTTCTGAACCTGGAACAACTGATATTTTGGGAGCTGGATAATTCTTTGTTGTGGGGGTATCCTGTACACTGCAGGGTGTTTCACAGTCTCCCTGGTTTCTACCCATCAGATGCCAGGAATACTCCTCTCCCCTCCACAGTCTCTGCCAGTTGTGACAATCCAAAGTGTCTCCAGACATTACCCCATGTCCCTTTGGGGAGGAAACAAAATGTACTCCTCCTTATTGAGAAGCACTGGCTTAGGTGTGGCTAAGGACCCCAATCTCATGCTTCCCATCCTTGCTCTATGCCCATCTCTATATCCATGAGGATTTATTTACTAGTTCACCCTTGTTCCCAGATAGGATTGAAAACGTTGCCTTTGCCATGTGGCTTTCACCTTCTCTCAGGTGTCTTCAGCCCCCTGGGAAGCCACCCTCCAGTGGGCTTGCATTCCAGGTGGACCAGTATCCCCAGTATCATGATCCCATGATGGCGGTTCTCATGCTCCAGGGGCTACTGGAATCCACTGAGGGGCCTGTTAAAATTCCCCTGAACTTGCCCCCTGGAGAGTCCAAAGTAGTGGGTCTAAGTGGGGACAGTGGAATCTGCACTGTCAGAAGCATGGTCCATGGACATCCTTGCAGAACCCCCTTCCTGGGAGGCCTCTGGGTCTGACTCTAGCAATGAACAGCAAGGTTCCCTCCTGGTTAGGAACGTCAATGTCCCCCTAGCTCCCTTTCTGCTTCCCCTCCCCCACAATAAGATCAGGCCTGGAGCTCTATTTCCTACTTGGCGAGCATTTT